ACTTGCCAGTGTTTCGTAGAAGTGTCTTTTGTCTTTGCGTGTACTCTTCTTCACTTCTTTGTTCAGTGTTTTATACATTTTACTCAGTTCCTCTCCTCGTTGTTCATCCTTGCACTGATTCATCTTCTGCTTCACCATCCCCCTCTCCTCTATCGGCTTCCATGTGTCTATTGAGATCCATTCCTTGTCTTCTTTCTTCTTCCTTCCTAATACGGTTATGCAGGTTTCTTTCCACATAGCTTTCAAAGACTTCCAGTGTTCTTCCACACAGGTTTCTTCAGGGATGTTGCTCGATATCCCCAATTTTGTCTTGATGGCTGCCTTGAAGATCTCCTTTGTAGTTTCATCCTTCAGTTCCCGGGTGTTGTACTTGAATTGAGGTCTATCACCAGCTTCCTTGAAGGCTTTCAACTTGATTTGGAAGGTTCCTTGCACTAGATAGTGGTCTGAACCTACATCTGCTCCTCTTCTTGCCCTTGTGTTAAGTAGACTGCGTCTCCATTTTCTCGAGATTGAGATAAAGTCGATTTGATTTTTAGTGTGTCCATCTGGTGAAATCCATGTCGCTTTGTGGATATCTTTGTACTTGAACACACTGCCTCCAATCACCAAATCGTTGAATGCACAGAATTCTGCAAACAATTCTCCATTCTCGTTCATCACCTCACCGAGTGCCTCTCGACCCATGGTTAGTTCTCTTCCTGTGTTGTCCCCTCCCAGCTTGGCATTCATGTCACCCATTAGAATTTTGATATCGCCAACTGACGTCTTGTCCAGTGTTGATTGAAGTTGTCTGTAGAAATCCTCCTTTTTCTCTTGCTCCGCATTATTTGTAGGTGCACAGTAGCATTGTATGATTGTGACCTTTCTTCCTTTTGAGTTGGATCTTGCTGTCATGATCCTGGAGGAGATTGGTTCCCACTGCATGAGAGCCTTCGATGTTCTTGGGGACATCATGATAGCCACTCCCTCAGTGTGCTCGTGGTTGTCGTCTGGGTGACTGGAGTAGATTATTGATTCTCCAGTTGACAGTTTGGAGAGTCCGCTCCCATTCCATCTGCTTTCGCAAATCCCAAGCACTTCGATGTGATACCTTCTCATCTCTTTTGCAATCTGGGCTGTCTTACTGGGTTCAAACATCGTACGGACATTCCATGTCCCCACGTTTACTTTCTCTTTCATCGAGAGGAGACACATCGGCCAATTGGCTTCCCGAAGGCTTTCACCAACTGGCGTCATTTCGCCTCTCCGATTCCAGCGGGGAATAAGTTTGTTTTCATTTTTTATATTTTGTTTGTGCTTTGAAGTTTCTTTAGCGGTTAGATTTGTTTTACGGGGTAGGGTTGCTAGCCCTATGCCCAACCTTCCCTCTTTACCCGGGCTTAGGACCGGCTAGTAACTAGTGAACTAGTTAACCAGGCGAGGTTACACATGTTTAGTTCGGTGTAATTCGATGAACAAAGATTCAGCAATCAATCTCCTTGTCTCTACCTAACTGTATTCAAGTACACTGGTTTTATCCAGTCCTATTGTGTGTCAATGCATGCATTTCAAAAGCCGAGTAATTTTTCTAGATTATTGATCTTATTGGCGTTTGTCATTCTATATATAACTGACATTCCTATATTCCGCTAATCTAACTGACCTCGACTGGCTAGTTCCATCTATGCAGTTGACCTCTCAGTCACTATATGGAATTTGGTAGGTTAGATCAATTTTCTGAACTGGTTTTATCGGATCCTTAAACCAGCCGACAAAGCTTGTCTCTGAGTGCGTTTTATACGTTAAATTAAATACCACCAATCTAATTCCAGCTTTGTTAAGGATCGTACATTAAGTTTCTGATGTTCCTTCCTTACAGTGGAGGCTGTGAACTCCTTTTTACTCGTGTTATTATTTAGTTTCTTGTGTGTCCGTACAAATTTCTTAATAAACTGTAGAGGATAATTATTAACGCTTCTTTTGTGTGCTTCAGTTCCTTGTTTAGGTCATTGGACTGACTATTCAGTTTTCTAGCTCTGTGATTTAGACATTTGACTAAACCTGCCTTCACTGACTGCAACTGGATGAGATGACTTGAAGTCTAGATACCTACCTGTTAGAATGCGTCGGTTTCCTGTCGAAGGTAGTCTCCAAACAACCGTCTGTCGTTCATTTTTTCCTGCAATCCACCATAGGCAATTCTACTTGTTCATTTTCTACCTCCTCATAAGTGAATTGGATTGCGCCTACCACTGAGTTGGTAAACTGTCCGTACGTTCCTATAACAAGTCAGTAGTGAATGTGTCATCCACATATCGCTACCACTCTAGGATTGAACGTTTGTAAAGCTATGTTTTCCCAACTATCCATAAATTGGGGATAATAGTTATCCCATTGCTACTCCTTATGTTCATCTGCATATTTTATCCAGAAACTTGAAGGGCAGGTACAATTGTACACCTAATATGATCTCATCAGCTGATATCTTAGTTCCATGAGTAAGTTCTAAGTTAATGTTTAGTTGATGTCTGACTGCCTCCAGTCCCATATTGATTGATATTTTATTAGAAAGGTTTGTTTTACGTCGAAACTAACCATTTTTTTCATTTTCTTTTTATATGTTGGTCATTAAGTTTTAGCTTCAACTAGGAAGAACCTACTAGTCGAGAATTTGAGCAGTTTCTAATGATACATAATATCGATACTAAATACTTTGTTAGTTCATGTTGGAGTATTTCAGAAGTCAACTATGGGTAGGACGAGATAACCCGGTTTATGAACCTTAATAGTTCCATAAATTCTCCTAGGGTTATTAGTAGCATACATTAAATCCAAGCATTTAGACTCAATTAGAGATGACTTTAGTCAGAGTATCAGATCGGTAGTAGATTTCTCAATTCGATTCACCATCGTGTCTTAAGCTTTCTTCATCTCTGCATATAGTGCTGTATGGATATGTTCATCAATTTTGTTGAAGTAATCCAATTTGTCTATAACTACAGTTGAACTGCCTTGATCAAACTTAACAGTTACTATGCTATTGTTATTCCATAAATTAGTCAGAGTTAACGCGCAATGTGCTCTAACCTGTTCACCAGCTGCTGCATCCAACCGGCTTAACGTTACTTCTATGCTAGGTATGAATGACATCTTCTGGTCCTAGATGGCTGATTTATTGTCACGTTAAAGCTTAGTCCTTTCTCGAGTACTTTCATTTCAGCTGAGCTTCTTCAGGAGAAATTGACTACGCACCCACTACACACTTGCATTGATCTGTTGAACTTGTTCACTCGAATCTTGACTTTATGTTCTGTTCATCAAATAAACAAACCTAAAATGGAATTAACGTCTACCATATTGTCCAAGTGTTACATAACTTTTTAACTAGACAAAATTCTTTCCACTGTAATAAGCTAAAACTGATCATTGTTTTTTTCTGAATTAATAAGTTTGGTTGCAATTGTTCAATGGTTACCGCTTCACTGAAATGCAGACATCAACTACATGTCTCCCTATCAATGAGATATAAAAAGGAACAACTCTGTTGAAGACATTTCTATCGCTCAATCACAAACTCTTAAGCATGTACATATAACCTTTCTCAATTTGCTTCAACTTCACCCCCCCCCCCACCCCCAATGATCCATACACACTTTCTTTGTCAAACTTTCACTGTATAGTAATCATCGATTCCTGTTACATACATGTATACGAAAAAAAATATTTTTATTCCCTGTGCTTTCCAGTTATGTAATGTTGTCGATTATTATTATTTTTTCCCCTTTGGTTCCTAGTGGAACATAAGGCTTCAGTAGCACGCCTCCATTCCACTCTCTTCTCTACAGTCTTTTGAACCTCACTCTACGACTGCCCACAAGCCTTTATTTCTTCCTCATATAATCTCCTCCATATCAACCTCAGCTGGGACGCCCAACTTGTTTTCCCTTTGAATTCCATTCGACAGCCTAGCCTGGCGCGTGATGTCCTCAATCGGCCTTCTCAGTGTATGTCCAACCCATCTCCACTTTCTCCCTCTGCATATTTGTAGGGTGATAGGTTCTTGGTTGGTTCGTTGCCAGCCAGCCAGAGTTCATTGTTGCTTATTCTTTCTGGCCATCTGATTACCATCTTCAGTATCAAGTGGGCGTAAGCAGCAGCTATTGATGAATGTCTGTAGTTTGTTGGAAGTGCTTTTCGTGACGCACCAAGTTTCCGAACCATATAGCAGCACTAACTGGACCGGATTGGTGTTGAAAGTCTGGATGTTGTTCTTTACGCTGAGTGCAGTAGATCTCCACACTCATTTCAGGTTAATGAAAGCCTGCCTCGCTTTGGTTTTCCGATACTGGTTTTGACATCCTCGTCTGTGCGTGTGCCACTTGTAGTCGAAACAATACTGCCTAGGTTGGTAGAGGTTCCTCCCGTTAATGATGCTTGGTGCTGGTTGCTGATGATGTTGTCGGTTGGGTTTCTTCATCACGTCTGTCTTCTCTACATCCACTTGAAGTCCTGTTTTCGCCTGCACATATTCGAGTTTATGCGACATTAAAGATAAATCATCGGCGAAATCTAAATCTTCTAGGGTCTTTTTATCGGTGCAGCGTATGCCCATCTTGCTCCTCACGGTTCGCTGCATGATCCAGTCCACCACAATCAGAAAGATCTTCGGTGATAGTAGACAGCCTTGTCTTACTCCTTCCTGTCTTCACTTCAAAGGAGTCACTAAGCTTTCCATAGCGGATCACTTGGCATGTAGCGTCGTCATATAGCTGTTGAATGAGGTTGATAAAGGTTTGTGGCACTTAAACCGTAGTGTTGAAGCAACCGCTTGCCAAATTGCTTCTCGGTCAACGCTATCGAAGGCCTTTTCAAAGTCGATGAAGTGAAGGTAGAGAGTAAACTCCCATTCTATACTGTGTTCTATGATGATGCTTAATGTAGTAATCTGATCCGTTCATGATTTGTTCTTCCTGAAGCCAGCCACCTAGCCTGTTTCGATCGTAATTTTAAATCCAGAAATGCTGTCTATACTGTTTTTTTGCTAAATCAAACTTAAAACAATCGGTTAGCCGATAAATTGAACTAAAAACAAAAAAAATACTCTTCAACAGAAAATGTATGTTGTACACGATTTGTCTAAGTACACCATCAAAGATGATGTTGTATGAAGTTGACAAAAGTCACATGAATATGGAAGATGAAGCTAACCGGAAAGTAAAGGAAAAAATGACAACGAATTCTAAAAAGAGGAGGTGTGAACAAATAAAAAGAATGAGTAGGTATCTGAACAACTAAATCTGATAAATCTATAGAGAAACTTTCCTCCACAAACTGTATTATAGTTACTGGGGTTGGTTATGACACAAATGTGTCCACGTGAACATACAACCATCCATTCAAATAAACACATTAAACAAACAAAATAATAAGATATACATACTTGATCAGGAGTAAAAATCATACTCTTGATAGACAATATATAAGCTCTGTTAAAAAGTAACCATAATCATCTTTGAATTCATATAACATTTGGCGTAGTTTAACTTTTTATTGAACATTGAACCGTCCAATTGTTCGTTGTAACCCACAGTAGGGGGCGCCAATCGCTGACAGTAAGTACGTACGTAAACACACACACACACACACAATCAATTAACAATCATGCTAACACAGAGAATAATGTTAGGTGAAAGCAAACAACCTGCCCCCCCCCCTGCACACACACAAACACACATACACAGAAAAATAAAATAGGAGATACTACAAATTATCATTTTAATCTATATGTGTAATACTTTCAATGTTTCAATGTTTTTGCTTCTTCAAGCTTTTCATATAATACTTTCAATGGAACCAATGACGATGATGATGATAAGGTATCATTATCTAACATATCATAACCATTTGAATAAGATGATAAATTCCATAAAGATTTCAAAGGGATTGGTTTACCAAGATACAATAGACGAAACCATAGATTATTTAATTTCTCAGAATTTTTATAATCCACTAGAGTTAATGAATTATCACCAGGACGAAGATGAGAAGATGTTGATTGACAACATGATGATGATGATGATGATGATGATGTCTTTGTTGTATACAATTCAAATATTAAATCAGCTGCAAATGGTGGCCAGCATCCATCGAATACATTTAAACCGAATAATAATAACATTAATGAAGAATCATGACATGCGTATAGATGAAATTGAGGTAATCTATAGGAAATATTTTAAAAGAAGAGAAAAAAAGTTTGATATGTACGTATAGCGTCTGTTCAAATCCTTGACAGGTCGAGGTGGTGTTCGAACCATTGACATACTGTTAAAGAGTCACAATCCACCCACCGCTTATCATCATCACCATCCAAATATAATAGGACTAGGCAGTACTGTGTAACACTCCGACTTACCCCACACCTCATATTACTAAATCAAGTAAAAAGGCAGTGAGAAAATGGTAAGATTCCTTATAGCGTCGTTGAAATGAGGATAATGTGTGTGTGTGTGTGTGCATGCAACACTCATATCAATTTTCAGCCATGATACATCACCTAGAGTCAGTCTCCAACCACTGGTTCCCCTTGTCCCGCGGATCCTAAACGGTTAATTTGAATCGCCCCACATAGCTTGAACCAACAACCCATCTCAAGCCTTTTTCCAGTCTGAATCTACTTCGGCCAACATTGTGTGACGAGGCAGAAGGCGACGTAACAAGTGTCTCAACCATCTCAGTCAATGAAGGTTTACAACCTCGTCAACCGACATACCTCTTCTCCCTAAAACTCTACTCCTGATTTCTGCATTACTCACCTGGTGACACCAAGGAATACGGCATATACACTAAGAAGGCAACGGTGGTCAAACACTTGAAGCCGCCTTCACGTCTTCCACCTTCAATGGTGATGTTTTACAGCCATACAGTAGAACAGAGTGGACTGCTGTGCAGTACACGCGACCCTTAGTAGATAATTGAATATCACGGCGGCGCCATAGGTGGTGTAAGTTGGCGAAAGCCAATCGAGCCTTTTGTATCCGTGCAGAGATTTACCCGGCCACTGAGCCATCAGGTAGGTAAAGTGGTCGACACACTCAACCACTTCACTCTCTATTGTTAGCCGTGGCACCGTTGAAAACCAATCCTAGAGCAGCAATTTACATTTGGGTGGTGAGAAACGCATCCCAAATATTCCCAAATTTCTGCTCAAAGTGTTCAGAAGACTCTGCATCTTGTCAGTGTCTTCACCTAACAGGACTATGTCATCTGCATATTCTGGGTCTAACGAAAATTCTCCTGTGATTAGATTAACGTCTGTGTAACCTGGTGACGAAATGGAAACCTCCATAAAAATATCTAAGATAAAATTGCATAAGAGTGGAGACAGTGGGCACAAGTAGACCGACATGTATATCATTTCTTACTGCAGCACACATTCACTTTCTTTTATCAAAGAATCAAATCCCTCTTCAAGTGCCTTTCTTTTGCGAACCGCTGACCTAATTACCAGCTGACAGCGGAACGATAATCTCAACCTTGACATGATGCCTGGCTTTCCATATCACAATAGCCTGAAGAACTATCCTGCTTAGAGGAATTCAAAGACTGACCATACATATACTAGAGAGGTGCGCTGTGTAGGGTTAAGACAAAACAAAATACAGTTATCATCATACTGTGAAGTGGTGGAGATTTGTATCAGCTAAAACCTTGTGGTTGTTGACGAAATCTTACCTCAGATAGAGGAAGCCATTCGGTATTTGCCAACTGGCGAGATATCCTACTACCTATCAAACGACGAGTATACTTCACTGCAGTTCATTGTGCCCTGTAATACATGTCCGTTAAAAGTAGAGAACATAAAGCGATTATAAGGTTTCAATAACAGGTATCTTCATAGAATTGCTCATGTTTGGTGGAACGTTGAGGTCAGACAAGTCAGTTGAAGAGTTTATGAACCATTCAGTGACTGGTTCGGCTTTGATATGTGTTGCACATCCCAAGCCATCGCAGCCTACGTCAACATGGCATGCTAGGAGAAATGTGATAAGGTTGGAAGAGGGTTCTGGGAGGTCAGATGAAGACATAGCAACAATTTATGACATCTCTGACAGTTGTTCTGAGCATTGTCGGAGGAGATGTAGACAACCGTTGGGTGCGGTCTTCGAGAAGATAGGAATCGGTTGTTGAAATCTCCTGACAACATTATTGAAAATCGGTCATAATTGTACAGATGTATTCATTCCTCCACGTCTTCTAAAACTTCAATGTTTTGAAAAGCCTCAGTTTTTAAATTCACACTGCTAACATACGTCTTTATCAATTTCGATATCAGCCTTTCCATATCCACTGTGAAGTTGTGGCAACTTGAAGCAACACACTTGTATACGAAGTTCTACTCTGACTATCTGCCTGAGTTTGTAACATCAAACCCTTTTTTACGCAAAAACCGATAAAATCCTTAACCTCCCTATGCAACAGTGGTCTGGAAGGAAGGAAAGGTACCTGGTGATTAGAAGAAGGGTTACCTTGTCAAACTCCTTAAGAAGGTCGACCTCAGTCTTTGCAAGAACTGGCGCTGAATCATGCTGCTGTCCACCCAAGCAAAATACTATGCTGCATCATCCCGGAGAGACTAAAGTTTGCGTTGAATTCAAAACTATGACCGGACACAGACTGGATTTCGGAAGTACAAATCATGTGCGGACCAAATTGCAACGCTTCGCATCATCATAGAACAGAATATGGAATTGAAGTCAACTAGATCTTTACCTCAACTTTGAAAAGGCTTTCGACAGAGCCCACTGAGAAGTAATATGGTAACTCCTTCAACACTACGGAATGCCGCAAATCTTTATTAACCTCATTCAACAACTATATGAAGATGCCACATGCCAAGTAATTCATAGTAGGAAGCTCAGTAATGCTTTTGAAGTGAAGTGAAAACAGGAGTAAGACCAGGCTGCCTCCTATTATAACTCATGATCTTCCTGATTGTAGTCGACTAGATCAGGCAAAAAAAGTGATGAGCGAGAAGATGGGCATACGCTGGACCGGGGAAAAGATCCTACAAGATTAGGATTTCGCCGACGACTTATGTCTGATGTCACACAAACTCGAAGATGTACAGGCAAAAACTAACAAGTTGACAGAAGATGCAGGGCAGCGAAGATGACACTTCAAGTGAAGGTAGAGAGGATAGAGGTGATGAAGATACCCAACTAACAACAACAGCGACAACAAGCTCCAATCAACATCAACGGGAGAAACCTAAAGGAAGTGGCCTCTTTCACGTATCTAGGCAGCACTGTTTCAAGTATAGCGGCAGTGGCACAGACGAGGACGTCAAACCCAGCCAGGATCGGAAAAACAGCAAGACAGGCGTTCATTAACCTGAAACCAGTGGGGAGATCTTCTGCACTCAGCATAAAGCCTGAACAACATCCGGATTTACAACACCAAAGTCAGTGCTTCTATATGCTTCAGAAACTTGGCGTGTCACGAAAAGCATTTCCAGCAAACTACACACATTCATCAACAACTGCCTACGCTCGCCGTTACCAAAGCTCTGATGGTCACAAAGAGTAAGCAACAAGGAACTCTGGCTGGCTGGCTGGCAACGAACAAACCAACAACCCAACAAATATGCACTTGAAGCAAGTGGAGATGGATTGAGTCGAGCACATACACTGAGAAGACCATTCGAGGACATCACGCACCAGGCCAGGCACTCGAGTGGAACCCAGATGGGAAGTGACGAGTTGGGCGTTCGAGGCGAGGGTGACATGGAAGAGATGGTGTGATGAAGAAATGAGAGCTTCCGGGCAGTCCTGGAGTGAGGTTCGAAAGATTGCAGAGAACTGGAGAGTGGAATGGAGATGTGCTACTGAAGCCCTATGTTCCAATAGGAACCCAAAGGACAAACAGTAATCATAAAACTAACAGCGAATTCCCGATTGATTGCCTGAAACTCGAAGTGGTGATTGATTGGCTTTACATATCACAATGATCTAACGATCTATCGTTTGAAGCCATTTGGTTAGTGGTAAGGTAAAAACTAGTCACCATCATAATGTGAATAGCTACATTATAATGAGAATTCGACACCGAAGTTGTACTGGGAGTTCGACGGACTATGATCGCAGAAAGCTGTTTTCCATCCAGATGTTACCTTCTGTATAAAAATGACGAAGATTAGTCGAGACCGATCACAAAAACAGTATACTTCTTGTCTTGTAGTATTCCCTTGTCAAGAGTATAGTCTCAAGCCTGGAACTTTCACAAAAGCCAAGAGTGACCAGCCTTAAGCAGATGGACTGTTGAATTCTGCGGTCACGCACCATTATTAATAATTCACTTTCTTTATCAAATACTTCAAGAAATAAACTTCCATACTGCTGTCAAGATCCCTCACTGTTTTTTTCAGCATTCAACTTTCCTCTTATCAGCTTCAGACAGACATTTTGTTAAATTTATTTGCATCCCAGTGATTTGTGGTATTTCTGAAGACACTCAGAATCGTTAGGCATTACTTTACAGACTATGGATTATGTCTAGTGTCAGACCGATGAACAAATCAATAAAAATCTGGCACAGATATGCAGCAATTCACGCTACTTCATTACTTTCGCCTCACTCTAAAACTGTCTCCAACTCCTTAACTAGATAATCTAGATGTACGTAAAAGGTCCAGAAGAACAGTCAGAAGTTCCATGAACTGATACTAAAATTTTGACTGGTTATCTTTAGCTATTTTTACAATATATTCTTACTTCGACCAACTCTACAAGGGGTTAGAACAAGATGCGGCACCAGTCAATGAAGTCGTTGATTGTTGGTTTAAGCCACGTGGAAGAGAGATATAGACTGTGTTGGTTGAGGTCATAAGGATGATAAGAACCAGTAATTGAAAATACTGTTTGACCCTTATTGTGCCGTAGTTTGTAGTCAGTCGGATGTATGCATATACCCGAAGTTGATTAAGCTGAACTTTCTGGTATTCCCTTATTCAAATTGACCCTAGTCGACTAATTTGACCACATAACAATCTAAAACCTCCTATCAAATCCTTTCCAACGATTGAGACGTTAAATACATAGGTCAGAAGGGTCAAATCGGGGCCAAGATAAGTCGAATTCGGGAAAAAGCTCAGTTAGATCTACGCCCATAGTGACACAGTAGTCCGGAGGGGGGGGAGGGAATGAAGGGGGCAGAGTGACAGATTCACAAAGAAAGTGACTCGGTTGAATGAAGGGGAAAAAGAGAAACTGTTAGGGGGAGCATACTTAAGTTTGTTGGAACGTTTGCCATACACACAAATTTAGGCCTAGCTTACGCATTACGCTAAACATATCACAAGGTTATTTTCAAATCTTATCAAGTAAATAGGTGGTTAGATTATATAGATCCTAGTGACTAGCAAAGGAATCCAGCTTGATGCACGTTTCGTCCGATATGGAACTTGTCAGGTGAATGTATCTGCGCCCCAGTGAGTGGTGTTGTCCCCACTGAGGTTCAGATTATAAACCTTTTGCTTCAAACGCCAGAGAGTTATCCCACTTAACTGCTTCTTGTGTTGCAGTGATACCTGTGATTTCCCTTTCCTATACGGGATTGCATTTGAAGACAACTGATAAGGCAAATATTCAAGATTTAGAAGATGTCAAAGCGGGGATTAAATCTGCGTCACTGTGACCGTTTTTCAGCTACGTTACCAAGTATCGGTCAACAAACACTGACTCGTATAGTCTCAGGAACTCCAATCAGTCAGTCTACATCTATTTGTACGGCTCTCACCAACGGTTTGAGACTTCATGCACTGATGCCACGTATTAGCGGCATCTTAATCCAACTTTCCCTAGAATGGCACGTCAAGGTAGTTGGTAATGGCCTGACATGTGCAAGCCATCTTAGTCGACTACAGTTCACAACCTCATCAATCGACATGCCGTCGTGTGTTGCATAGTACCTTCATCTGACTTCAACACTGCTCACATAGTGGAACTCCTCAAGTAAGTAAGGTGGTCGACACATTCCACAAATTCACTCCCTATCATTAAGCCGAGGGTAGTTGCAGCACACCAGTCATGGAACATCATCTTACTTCTCAAAGGTGCCAGCCAAACCCATGCCAAACATAATGAGATTTCTCCTCAGGGCGTTCAGAAGTCCTTGTATTTCGTCAGTGTCTTCACCCTAGAAGGACAAAATCGTGTGCATACTCCAGATAAAAAGAATCACCTCCAAGGAGTAGGTGAATCCTTATGAAGTAACATGTACTTAAGGTTGTATTCATTAATATGTCTATGATGAAGTTGAATCGGAAAGGTGACAGTGAATATCCCTGCCGAACACCAACAGTTTATATTCAACTCACTTGACAACTTTTCACAAGCTCTTACATATCTGCATAAGTTCGAGTAGAGAGCTTTGATAAACATTATTTACTTGCTTGGTACTCGGTTCACAGTTAGACACTGAGAAACACTGATCAACACAGTCAAATCTTGTCTTCAGATCAATAAATTTTGGGATTGTTGGTCTCCGGACAGTAAGTATACTTGTATGTTCTAGAATTTGTTGAAGGATGATTCATTCTCATTCGCCTCTGTCTGAAACTCGACTGGTTTCCTCAAGTTTACTATTCTCCAGCTCCAGATAGGGGGGTTGGATAACTATCGACCCTAAGATCTTAGATACAATATTATTAGTCAAGATAATTTCCCCCCTATGACTGCTACTCACAAAGAACAAGACCCAGGTTTTCAACATCAAGCTAGTCAAGGCAGTGCTTCTGTACGCCACAGAGACTTGGCGTGTCACGAAAAGCATTTCCAACAAACTACACACATTCATCAACAACTGCCTACGCTCGCCGTTACCAAAGCTCTGATGATAACAAAGAGTAAACAACAAGGGACTCTGGCTGGCTGGCTGGCTGGCTGCAACGAACAACAACCCAACAAATATGCACTTGAAGCAAGTGGAGATGGATTGAGTCGAGCACATACACTGAGAAGACCATTCGAGGACATCACACACCAGGCCAGGCACTCGAGTGGAACCCAGATGGGAAGTGACGAGTTGGGCGTTCGAGGCGAGGGTGACATGAAGAAGATGGTGTGAAGAAGAAATGAAAGCTTCTTAGCAATCATGGAGTGAGGTTCGAAAGATTGCAGAGAACTGGAGAGTGGAATGGAGATGTGCTACTGAAGCCCTGTGTTCCACTAGGGACCCAAGGGACAAATAATAATAATGATAATAGTAATGACTGTCACTACTGTTTACTTTGTGTTTCTATGCTAAGAATCCTTCAATTCATTAATAACCACTGTACAATTGAAAACTATTTACAACTGTTTGACATATTCCTTTGGAACGTGATTTATTGATATTTGGCACATGTTTTATGAGGAAGTATATTACGTAGTCATTTATGTTGTTATGTCAATCACATTTGATTTTTTGTATGTTGACCATTGTCATCTAATATAACACCCCTCAGAAAAGTTAAATCAATAACATTCATGGTATGTACAACTTTTTACACTTTACAACTAACTGCCTACAGATATAGTCCTATGTAAATTAGGATCAACAATTTGTAAACATAGTAATGATTGGTAATGGTGAGCGGTGGAATCCAGGATGTGCATCTCATCAGCTGAGTGTACCTGCCTCCCAGTGAGTGATGTTGTTCCCACTAGGATTCGGACTCAAGAGCGACCGCTTCCAATGCGAAAGGCTTATCAACTACACCACCGAGCGAGGTATTTGAAGCAATCACTCCCGAGTTCGAATACCGGTGGGAACAACATCAGTCATTGGGAAGCAGGTACATCCAGCGGACGAAATGCGCATCCTAGACTCCACGGTTAGCCATTACCCATCATTGCTACACATAATTAAAGCACAGGTAATAAAGAGTCAACCGCACAGGAGACCATATGCCAACAGAGACTGATCAATTCGGTCCAATCAACGACAGTATGACAGAAACAATAACACTAAACCTATACCCATCAAACAAAAAGTGGTTGTCGTGGCTCGTTGGTGTAGTGGATAACGCTCTCGCGTTTGTTGCGATCACTCCCGAGTCCAAATCCCAATGGGAACAACATAACTCTGCACTGGGAAGCAGTTACATCCAGCTGACGAGTCCCAAATAGGACGAAACGCGCATCCTGGATTCCTCTGCTAACCACTAACCATCATTACTATCTCCTCTTTTACATGAAATCAAGAGAAATTGTCTCAAAGGGAAAAAAAATACCACTGACTTACTTTTCATAATTTATCAAATTGGAGAGAATAAGGGAGAAAATATCATTGAAGATAATATGAACATTTGTCTCCCAATCCCTAAAAAAGTACAAAATATGATAAAGGGTGAATGCATATTTTATTAGAAAAACAATTTTCACAAAATCAGACCAGTTATGTCATTGCTTGTAACTTCCGGTAGTTTCAGTTACCTTTTATACTGATCAATTGTGAAATCGAGGACAGACGATTCATCTTCTTTAAGAGTAGTCAGCTGATTGCATCAGACTCTCAGTGAGTGATTATCCCCGCCCCCTCCATTACTCATACCGACTCTCACTAGCTTAGTCGATAACGCTCTGGTATTTGAAGCGATCGGTCCCGAGTTCGAGTCCTGGTGGGAACAAGGTAGATATATCCAGCCAACATTGTGTGAGAAAGAAGACGGTATCTAGGCAGGCATAAGTAAAACATCACCTGCTCGAAGTCCCCGAACTCGTGATTGAATCACAAAGACTATTCTTTATCGTCTATGAATTATGTGTTTGTCATCTATATCCTACCACTGTTCTTTCATCAAATGTATATATTCTCCTTCATTTCAACTTCTTATCTTGTTTCATCTATTCACCTGTGAGCAATATTGTTTGAATACGGTTATACAGTGATCAACTTAGTAAAGTTTCAAGGTGAAAGAAAACAACAAAATGTTAGATGAATGCACCAAAAAGGTTGTTCAATCAGTGCACGCATAGTACCATTGATAATAATGATAGTCATCGTCTGCTTTATCGCAGAATTTTAGCTAAAGTAGGTTTAAGGAAGAGAAAGGTTCAGATCATTGGCTTGAAGGCATGAAGACGATGTAGACTAGCCCATTGGGGTGCACGGGACAGGAGAATCTAGGTGAGAACCTATGTCAGTGTCTCAAATAGATCCACACAAATTATCCTCATATTAACCGCTGTACAAAAAAAAATTCAGCCTTTTTTCATTCCTTCTTCCTCTCATTCATTGATTTTAACCGATTTTTTTTTCTACATTTCTATATCTTTCATCTTACTACTCTGTTACTTGTTGTGTTGATACGTGAGATGTGATAAATTGGATAGTTACGTAATAATACCTACCTCTAGGTTGGTATTGATAACGATAATGATGATCTTGGTATTAATAGCTTTATCGCAACAAATAGAAACTTAACCGCTTAGCTGATATGATAAGCGAATTTACAGAGAACGCTTGACATCCTTGAAGACATCATGAAAGTCATTCTATAACTCAGTGTGCTCGTGGTTGTTGTCTGGGTGATAATATCGGAGTAGATTATTGATTCCTCTCCAGTTGATAGTTTGGAGAGTCCACTACCATTTCATCTATTTTCGCAGATTCCTACCACTTCTATGCCATACCTCCTCATCTCTTTTGCAATCTGCCCAGACTTCATAGATTCATATATGGTGCGAACATTCCATGTCCCCATTTTTACTTTCACTTTCATCGAGAGAAAAGGAGGCACATCGGCCAGTTGACTTCCCGAAGGCTTTCACCAACTGACGTCATTTCATCTCTCCAATTCCAGTGAGGAATAAGTTTAATTTTATGTTTTATAATTTTTTGTGCTTAAAAGTTTCTTTTGCGATTGGATTGGTTTTATAGGATAAGGTTGCTAGCCTTAATTAAGCCCAACCTTTCCTCTTTACCTGGACTTAAAACCGGCTAGTAACTAGTGAACTAGTTAACCAGGAGAGATTCCTCAATTCGCTATACAACTAGCACATTTTACACTTTTCAATGTGTATAAATTAATCGAATTCATCAATTCTCTTCGAGTTAATTCACTTATTAATTACCCTACTGTAAAGAAACCTTAGACCAATTTGACCAAGTATGTGAACCTATTAGCTATGCATCACATACGCAGAGAGAGAGAGAGAGAGAGAGAAAGAAAGTAAATAAGTAAAGTATGCCGCCTACAATTCACCAACTACTAAACTTTAGTCTCATGAATAACCTGAAATATCTTTCTTTAAGAGAAATACCAAATTAGTAAATTCTTCTTCTCAATGAATGAACAAACGATATACAACCAACCAATCCTAGGCATGCCTATTCAACAAGCAATAAATCATAACTCTTATTGTGTAAAGGCTTATGATACTTCTATCTAGCTGACCACATATACGTTGGAAGCTGGAATTCATTGGTACGAAAGCTGATTCAATTAAAACGATCATTCATCTCCTATTGTGTACGAGGTTAATGATACTACGTACCTAAGCGTTGCATAAACCTCTATAGTTAGAGCAGATTTCAGAACATACTTCACCTGTTCCTGTGTAACTAGTTAAGTAGGGCATATGATTAGACAGGTACGTGTCTCAGGATACAAGACGATTTACCAACTCATTGACTGGATCGAATTGATCAGTCTGTATTGCCATATGGGGTCGTGTGTGGATGCCTCGATCACAACTGCCTTCTAATTATAGTAATCAAGGATACAAGAAGTGGTTATCGTGTCTTGATGACCGAATGGATAGCACTCTGGCATTTGAAGCAATTGTTCTTGAGTCCGAATCCCAGTTGGGACCACATTACTCAATGGGAGGCAGGTACATTCAGCTGACGAGTCCTAAATAGGACAAAATGCCAACCCTGGACTCCTTTTGTATATAGTAATTTAACTGTTGGTGTGGAACTACTTACATACAGCATATGATTAGACAAGTACCTCTCTCAGGATACAAAACGATTTACACACTCATTAAGGGAAGAGTGATGTGAAAGTGGTGAAAAGTTCAGTCCTACCAAATCTAGTCGACACATATGGTATCACATTTATTATCATTATTATTATTATTATTATTATTATTATTTGTCCCTTGGGTCCCTAGTGGAACACAGGGCTTCAGTAGCACATCTCCATTCCACTCTCCAGTTCTCTGCAATCTTTCGAACCTCACTCCATGATTGCTAAGAAGCTTTCATTTCTTCTTCACACCATCTTCTTCATGTCACCCTCACCTCGAACGCCCAACTCGTCACTTCCCATCTGGGTTCCACTCGAGTGCCTGGCCTGGTGTGTGATGTCCTCGAATGGTCTTCTCAGTGTATGTGCTCGACTCAATCCATCTCCACTTGCTTCAAGTGCATATTTGTTGGGTTGTTGGTTTGTTCGTTGCCAGCCAGCCAGCCAGAGTTCCTTGTTGCTTACTCTTTGTAACCATCTGAGCTTTGGTAACGAGCGAGCGTAGGCAGTTGTTGATGAATGTGTGTAGTTTGTTGGAAATTCTTTTCGTAATGCACCAAGACTCTCAACCATATAAAAACAGAAAGGTCTGTTGGATAGTGGTTAGAAGAAAAGCGGTTACCGTTGTTGTGGTGTAAATTACTACACTATCATAGGGGTCTGAGGGCGAAGTCTTACTCCTGCTAGCTGGATGATGTGTGACAGCAGTAAGGTGATGACCAGCAGTGCCATGCTGATGCTGCCTTCCCAGTGGGAGTGGTGGGGTGTGTTCGAAAAGGTCAGCCCTCCAAACAAAACACTCCACCATGTCCCACAGTCTGCTGGGCAGGCGGTGTTGGTTCATTTGCCGTTTCTTTTCAACCATCCGGCCTCAAAAATACAAAACTTCAAAATAATCATACTCAGAAGGCTACATGTGACAGGCCTCAAGAAGATATCCGATGGGCACTGCGGTCACACAAATCTCTTTCAGGTACCTTGAGAAGAAATAGCCTTCCACGGTATGGGCAGCCAGGTAGTGTCAATCGCCCTCACACCTCAATGATAAACCATATAGAAGCAGTAGTTAACCTGGCGAAGTTACGGTATCACATAGATATTCTAGTAAATTTTTAATGTTAATTCATCGTGTTCCAAAAATAATATCATATGTAGCTGGTGAACGATACTTGATTAACATAGGAGATGCCTCGTGGCTACCTTTATTCTATTTATATTAATGATGGATACAAGAAATGGTTTGTTGCTATGCTATTCTTGTTCATCTTAGGTTTTTAAAAAAGATTTATTTTATAATATAATTGATGAAGGTTAAAAGTGTATATGAAACCAATTTTAACAATGTGTTGTAATATGTATACTTTGACAAAGAAGGGGAGAGAGAGAGATAGAATAATTGCTTATATCACATGGTAAAGTCAACTAACTAATTGAAGATAATAATTTACTTTACACAATTCTCGGTTAAAAGTATTTCCATGTACTATACATTATATAACATTACAAGGGAGTAGTATTATAAGTTTTCTTATAAAACAGATATGATTTATTACCTAATAGACGATGGTGAACAAACTCATTGAGTAAGTCCTATTGATTGAAAACGCTAATAAAACTAATAGTCATAAGATGATACTTCACAGCTTATCAGTTTAATGATAAGGAATGAAGTTGAACAGGTTCAATACCGACGAAATCTCAGCTTAAATACGCAAGGCCAACTTAAAACACCTGTGACATTGACTATCCTATTACACGACGAGTATACTGCACTGTACGGCTATGAAATATATTCGTTCATAGTAGAAAACATGAAGTGATTACTCTGTCATGATTGTAGATATCTTCAGAGCATTGTTCAAATTTCGTAGAATCATCATGTGTTAGCAAAGTTGATATAGCTTGGACATGTGGTGTGTATACTAAGCCACCGCTGGCTACTCAATAGCGCAATGCAATGCCAACTTTCACTAGGTTAGAGAAGCAACACCAAGACATGATATCAGTGGTTAAAGACTGAAAACCAGTCAAAACAGTGTAGATATATTCACTCTTCAATGTCTTCGAAAGTTTGGATATTGATTTTTTGTATGCGAATATGAATGGATGAACTTGAGTCCAAGGTTCTATGTCAATTCTGTCTGTATGTCTGTGTGTTGAGTGACTTGGATGGTCACGGCAAAACAGAAACGATTCCTACCTAAACAACCCTTAGATTCCAGCCTACATTGACGCTCAGTGACACGATAAATAAAACAAAACTATTAGACCGATGAATATGTAACAAAACTAGGTCTACGTTTTTATGTAAGAGCATATTCTATCTCGATATTTACACTTAGGTTCA